CCACATCCCATTCTATCCCACTCGAAATGTTGTTCACACCCACAATGTAACCTGATCATCTTAAAGTATAAATAAACCCTCTCGTGGTGCCACACCCTTGTAGCTACACTGCGGTGTGCACCCTTGCAAGTAAAACAGCGCGTGTCTCATACTCTGTGGGCCAGCAGCCAGGGGGGGCTGATCACTCTCTCCGACAGGATGGAACTAAAACAGCTTTTATAACCAGACAGGGTTTGTACCACCATCAAAACTCAAGCTGTAATTGAACTCATGCAAAATAGGCATATGGTGGGCGGAATAGGACAAATGCATAAATGACTAATTTCAATAAATAAACCTGGTTTTCAGCAACAGAAATTATTAACCTCAGCAGCCGCTGGGAGCAGAGTCTTTACATCAGGGGCCGTCATTAAAGGAAGAGGAACCAGTTTATGTTGTTCATGCCAAAGTCAACTGTCACTAAAGCATGTTTTATTTTATTTAAAACAAGGGTACAGTGGATATAGAAATTGTACACACCCTGTTAAAATGCCAGGTTTTTAAGATGTAAAACAATAAATCATTTCAAAACTTTTCCCACCTTTAATGTGATCTATAACCTGTACAATTCAATTGAAAAACAAAGAAATTTGTCTGGGGGGAAAATATAAAAAATAAAAAACCTACAATAAGCTTGTTTAATAAGTGTGCACAACCTTAAACTAATACTTTGTTGAAGCACCTTTTGATTTAATTACAGCATTCATTCTTTTTGGGGACACAACTTCCATCAATTAAAGTGACTCTGATTAACCCCAAATAATGTTCAGATGTCCTAGTCGGATTTTCCTGACATTTGCTCAGTTGCATCTACAGCAAAAGTCGTGGTTCACAGCGAGCTTACAAAGCATCAAAGGGATCTTATTGTTCAAAGGTATCAGTCAGGAGAATTAAGGCTGCAAAAATATTTCCACAGCGTTAGATATACCATGGAACCATGCAGTGAATACAGTCATCAAGAAGTGGAGAAAATACGGGATAACAGTGACGTTACCGAGAACTGGACGTCCCTCCAAAATTGTTGAAAAGGCGAGATGAAAACTGTCCAGGGAGCCTGCAGGAGGCCTACAGCAGCACCAAAGTAGCGGCAGGAATTTCTGGAAAGTACTGGTTGTGTACAACATGCGACAACAATCTCCCGTATTCTCCATATGTCTGGACTATGGGGTGCAGTCGAAAACAGAAGCCTTTTCTTACCAAGAAAAATATCTAGGCCAGTTAAATTTTGTGAACATCGTGTTCCAAAAGCATGTGAGAAAATGCGTCAGGGTCTGATTAAACTTTTTGGCCACAATATATGTTTGGTGTAAAAAACAAAAAAAAAACACTGCATCACCAAAAGAACACTTTACCCACAGTGAAGCACGGGGTGGGGGCAACATCATGCTTTGGGTTTGTTTTCCTTCAGCTGGAACTGGGACTTTAATCAAGGTGGAGGGGATTATGAACAGTTACAAATACCAGTCAATTCTGGCTCAAAACGTTCAGGTGTCTGCTAGGAAGCTGAAGGTGAAGAGGAATTTCACCTTTCAGCACAACAATGACCCCAAGCAAACATCCAAATCAACAAAAGAATGGCTTCACCAGAAGAATATTAAAGTTTTGTAATGGCCTGTCATGATCCGCTCCGTCTGCTCCTGATGTGTGCCACGCCCCTCATTATCCACGTGTGCTTCCCCGATCGTGCCAAGCTGTTCCTTGTTATTTTGGCTTGTCTTCTGTATTTAGTCCGCGTCTGAGTACGTTACCCCAGATCCGTCATTAATGTTTGTTGGTGTCTTGGTCCTGTCCACCCAAATAAACCTCGTTTGCCTGCATTCTCGGCTTGCCTCGCCTGCTCGATACGACATGGCCCAACCAGGCCCAGAGCTAAATCCAATTGTAAATCTGTGAGGTGACTGGAAGAAGGCTGTCCTTGCCTTTGTAATCTGAGAGATTTGGAGTATGTTTCCAAGGAAGAGTCGGCAAATATTTCCAAGTCAAGATGTGGCACAGTGATAAACTCCTACCCAATAAGAGTGAATGCTGTCATTAAATCAAAAGTTGCTTCAAGAAAGTATGGGTTTTAGGGTGTTCACCCTATATGATGCAACTAGCGTATTGTAGGTTTTCTTTTCCACTTAACAGATTTGTTTGTTCTTCAATTGAATTGTGCAGGTTACAGGTCACATTAAAGGTGGGAAAAGTTTTGAAATGATTTATCATTGTCTCTCATTTTTTTCATATAACAAAAACCTGTCATTTTAACAGGGGTGTGTACAGTTTTTATATCCACTGTAGGTATAAATGTGCTTAATCAAAAGTCAAGCTTAACAAGCTTTATTGTCTGTATAATTCATTATTTTATCATTTATGCAGAGAGAAAACAGAAAATGAGATCTAATAAACACATTTGATTAATATATCCCAGTAAATTATTGTACTTACAGTTTTATTACTTGTTAAAACAGTGCGACTGCAAACAATTTTGCTAAGCATAGGATTAAAGAGCATCGTAAATTGTACATCAGGTGTACATGAGTATTGATAAAGGAGAGCGGAACACAGGCCTGTTGTGATTCAATTTATTTTAACCGTACAGGGTTACAAAAAACATTAACACATTTGTTGCGCACATTCCATAAAATACGTGCATTGGACGTTGCACATTAGACCGCAAACACTAAAAGAAACACAAAGACAGTTTGTGGGACTTCATGTCTAACAGACTAGAAAAAGAAAAGGAAATTACTCGGATTCATCAATATCTAAAGGTAAAGAGAGAAAATGAAAGATATTTAAAACGAATAATCAAGGCAGGGTGAGGTGAAGAGGACTTACCGCTGGTGACAGTGACTTCAGTGCCTTTATCCCAGTAGTCAACAGCTCCTGGGACGGGGTTGAGTGACTCTCTGGCACAGTAGTACACAGCCGTGTCTTCAGCTTTCAGGCTGTTCATCTGTAAATACACCTGGTTCTTGCTGTTGTCTCTGGAGATGGTGAATCTGCCCTGAAAGGACTGGGAGTAGTAAGTGCTACTACCATCGGACTCAATAAAAGCGATCCACTCCAGTCCCTTCCCAGGAGCCTGTCTGACCCAGTGCATACGATAGCTACTGAATGTGAACCCAGAGGCTGTACATGTCAGTTTGTGTGATTCTCCTGGTCTCTTCACCAC